CCCAGCCAAGCTGCTGGGACTCCCCCAGCAGCCTCTGCTCCCAAGCAGCACTGAGGTGCTGGGGCATGGGCGGTGGGTGTCCCTTGCATGGGTGGCACATGGCGGGGAATCCCTGGACAGTCTGGGGATGAGGAGTGGCCATGGCTGGCCGATGGGCACTGTAGACACTCTGCTTACTAAAAATACACCCCAGAGGTGACTGATTACAGGTTTGTGGACCTCCATGGAGAGGAAACAGCCTCAACAGTGTGGATGGGCTCCAATATTGTGAGACAAGACAGGGTTGGTGCCGGTGCTGGGCAGGTTTGCTGCCATGGGGGGTTCTGCCATGGGGGCCCCTTCCTGGGGAGGGGTTCCTGCACCCCAGCCCTCCAGGTCCCAAAGGACCAAACCCCTCTGGGGCATTGCCAGTGCCATATTGGAGCCTGGCCAGCACCACATCTGGCAGAGGGGGCTCACCGGAGGGAGGGAAAAGGCAATGTTCCCCCCCACGATGGAGCCACACAGGCTGTGGGTGGCCTGTCCCTGTCCCTGAGGACTGCGTTGCTGACACCACCAACAAGTGACAATTGGTGCCGGGCGTCAGCTGAGATCAGGGGAAAAGGCCAACACAGCCTGAAAGCGTTTCAGGCTTTCTCCCCGTAATGAAAAGAAAACACTTATTCTTATTAGAAAAATAAGGGCATGAAGCGTGGTGAAGTTCAGCATTGTTTGAGGAGGAGCGACTCCTCAAAAGAAGTATTTTGACTTTTTAAGCATTTCTTTCCAATTATTTTTGGCTGATGAGCCATTCTGGCTGACCTGAATCTGCATTTGTTTTGGCAAGGGAACCGTGTGTTGGAAAATAGTTACTTGGCGCCTGCAACCACCAGCCACCTCAGTGCAGCGCCCAGCTGTGGTGTGCCCCGCATGGCCAGGGCAGCCACCACCAGCCCATGGCTGATCCATGGTGCAGGATCTGTAGCTGCAGTGCTGCTAGCAGCCAGAGCACAGCTGCACTGGGGCTGTGGGCAAATACCTGCATTGCTGGTGTCCCCCATGCCAGGCTGAGGCTGCAAACCTGGACCCCAACCCTGTGTTTGGCAAAGCCCCCTCCAGGCACACAGCCCCCTTGTGCCTGGGGGTGCCCATTCTGTCTGGGGCACCCCTTGAGCCACCCTTCCACCACCGTCGCATCCTGCACCTGTGGCAGCAGCCATACACAAACCCCGGATGCCAGACCCTCTGTGCTTGGGCCAGCCAACCCAGGGGAAGCTGGTCCATGATGTCCCCTGGCACGGCCACCTTGGCCCTACCAGCCGTGCCCCATGGGGACACCATGGCCATGCCAGCAGTGTCCTGTGCCTGTGGGGACATTGTGGCTGTGCCAGCCATGCCCTGTGCCCCATGGAAACATCATGGCCTTGCCCTGTACCCATAGGGACATTGTGGCCATGCCAGCTGTGCCCCATGGTGACATGGCGGCCGTGCCAGACGTTCCCTGTACCACGGGAACACTGGCCATGCCAGCCGTGCCCTGTGCCCTATGAGGATGACCTGGCCATGCCCTGTGCTCTATGGGGACACCAAGGCTGTTCCAGCCATGCCCTGCAGGATGCTCTGGCCATACCAGCCATCCCTGGTGCCTGTGTGGTGCCAGCATGACTGCTTGGCAGTGCAGAGCTATAAATAGTGCCAGGTCAACGTGGCAAGGGAGGACCTGTTGCCTGGGAGACCTGCTGGCAGCCAGGAATGATGCAGACAACAGGGCACAGGGGGAGTGGCAGAGATACTAGTGGGGATGGGACTCCCGGGGTGCCCCCATAGCACCCCCCAAGTGGCACTGCAGCCTGCCTGTAGCCCTGTGCCGCACCCCCAGCTGCCCCCCGGCCTCCTGCCACTGCCCTTGGCTTTGAGATTGTGCCTGCGTCACGTTGCATGCTGGTTCCCCAGGAAACCGTCAGGAACGGCACATCCCACAGGAGAAGGAAGGGCCCCACACTGCCTGCACCGGTGTCTGCGTGTACCGGGCTTACAGTGGCCCTCGGCGGGGGGGCACAGGCATGAGAAGCAAAGCTGCCCACCCTGGTGCACAACCTCGGTGCACGAAGGGCAGCGGCAGTGCTGCAGTGGTCTCATAGGCAGTGCCCACTCCAATGCCAGCCCCACAGCATGGTGCATGCTGGGTGGCTGTCCACCTGAGCCCCCACCCTGTGCTGACCAACCCTCATGCAGCTGGCACTGCCGGCACCATGCTGTGATTAGCCAGAGCTCTGCCTGCCGTTATTAGCGATACCATCATTAGTGATGCTACAATTATCTGTGGGAGCCTTAGAGACAGATAGACACCACAAGGTTTAGGGTGCTTGGACCACCACTGCTACGCAGCCCACCCCATCCTGGCATTGCCACTGTGCTGTGGTGCCCCCCTCCCTGCCCACTGTGGTGCTGTCCAGATCCTCACCTCCCTCTTCCAGCGCGCCCGCCACTCATCCCG